TTTCATTTCTGATTGTGTTTATTTGGGCCCTCTTTTTTTCTTGATGATTCTGCTTAAAGGCTTGTCAACTTTGTTTATGTTTTGAAAGAACCCAGCTCCTGGATTTATTGATTCTTAGAATTGTGCTTTTAGTCTCTATGTCATTTAATTCTGCTTTATCTTGGTTATTTCCTTCCTTCTACTTTCTCTGGGTTGTCTTTATTGTTCCTTGAGTTAGGTTGTTTGTTTGAAATGTTTCTATCTTTTTAAGGTAAGCCTTTATCACTATGAGCTTCCCTCTCAGGACTTCCTTCACTGTGTCCCATAAGTTTTGGATTGTTGTGAGTTCATTTTCATTTGTGCCCAGAAAGTTTTGATTTCTTCCTTGATCTTATCCTTGACCCATTCATTTTTTAATAGCATGTTATTCAATCTCCATGAGTCTGTGTGTTTTTGAATTTTGTCCTTGAGGTTGGTTTCTAGCTTTAGGCCCTTGTGGTCAGAGGAAATGCTTGATAGGATTTCAATTTTCTTGAATTTGTTGAGGCTTGTTTTGTGTCCTATCACGTGGTCTATCTTTGAAAATGTTCTATGTGCATTTGAAAAGAATGTGTATTTTGTTTCTTTGGGATGAAAGGATATATATATATATATATATATATATATATATATATATATATATATATATCTCATATATATATATATATATATATATATATATATATATATATATATATATAATCAGTTAAGTCCATTTGATCTAGGACATTGTTCAATGCTGCATTATCTTTGTTGATATTTTGTTTGGAAGAGCTATCCATTTTTGAGAGTGGGATGTTAAAATTCCCTGGTATATCTTTCTTGAAGTCCTCCAACATTTTTCTTATGTGTTTGGGTGCTCCTATGTTGAGTGCATGTATGTCTATAATATTTATGTCTTCTTAATGGATTCTTCCCTTGAGTGTTATGAAATGTCCTTCTGGGTCTTTTTTTATGGCCCTTCTTTTGAAGTCTATTTTGTCTGATATGAGCATTGCTACCCCAGCTTTTTTTTTCCTGTCCAATTGCTTGGAATACTTTTTTCCAACCCTTCACTTTCAGTCTGTGTAAGTCTTTTGTTCTAATTTGTTTCTCTTGTAAGTAGTGTACATGAGGGTCATGTTTTCTTATCCATTCAGCTACTCTATGTCTTTTTATTGGAGTATTAATCCAGTAACATTTAAGGCAATTATTAGTAAGTATTTATTCATTCTCCCCCCTTTGTACCTGTGTTCCTCACTTTTTCACTCTTTTCCTTCCTATTCTTATAGTAATCCTTTAGCATATGTTGCAGTGCTGGTTTGGTGGAGATGTATTCTTTCAGCCTGTTTTGTCTGGGAAATTCCTTATTTCACCTTCTATTTTAATTGAGAACCTTGCTGTATGGAATAGCCTTGGTTGCAGGCCTTTGTTTTTCAATACTTGAAATATTTCTTGCCATTTTCTCTTGGATTGGAGTGTTTCTGTTAAGAAGTCATCTGTAAGCCTTATCAAGCTACTTTGTATGTTACTTCTTGTTTCTCCCTTGTTGCTTTTTAGATTCTCTCTTTGTCTTTAAAACTTGGCATTTTAATTATGATGTGTCTTGGAATAGGCCTCTTTGGCTTCATCCTAATTGGGATTCTCTGTGCTTCCTGCATTTGTGTGGTTTTTTCCCTCTCCAGGTTAGGAAAGTTTTCTGTCATTATTTTTTTAAACAGGGTTTCTGTCCCTTGTTCCTTTTCTTCTCCTTATGGTGTTCCTATGATTTGAATGTTTTTGTGTTTTATGTTGTTTTTCAGTTCTCTTAAGCTATCTTCATAATTTTTTAGTCTTTTTCCATGCACCTGCTCTACATGGGTGTTTCTTTCCACCTTATCTTTCAGCTCACTGATTCCATTCTCTGCTTCATCCAGCCTGCTTGTAATTCCTTCTTTTTTATATTTGAAATTGTATTTTTCATTTCATCCTGACTTTTGTTTATAGTTTCTATTTCCTTTTTCATATTGTTGTAGTTCTCACTCAGTTCCTTGTAGTTGTCTGTGAGTTCCTTGAGCATCCTTATACCATTCTTTTGAATTCTATATCTGATAGTTTATTTGCCTCCATTTCATTTAGTGGGGAATGTTCCATTTCTTTTGATTGCATGTTCTTTTTTTGTCTCCCCATTTTAGGTGACTCTTTTTGTTTGTTTCTGCACTTCCTGATGTTCTGCTTTGCTAGGGTGAACTTCTATGGTAGGAATTCTGTCAGTTTCAGTAATGTCATCTCTTTGATCTCCTTGTCTGGATGCTCTAGGGTTGACCTTTCATTTGTTTGTGTAGGCTTTCTTGTTGTACTTGTGTTTTTACCTTTTGGTGGTTCCTTTATTGGTGGGTTCTCTCTTCCAGCAGGCATATTGGTGTTCACAACTTCCACCCACTTTTGTATATGATCAATTGCAGGGGGAAGGCAAAATGGATTAAGATAGCAGGGGAGTGTTCTATGGGAATTAAAGTACCAGAGAGTCAAGAAGAGATAGGAGATCCTTTGGGTAAATACAGCATAAACCATGATATTTTACTCAACTAGCCACTTTTTATAAAAGTTGAAAAAGAGATAAGACTCTTGTTAGAGTGGGGGAGGACTGTGAGCTGATTCCAGAGAACAGGGCTTTTGTATGAAATCAGATAATGAGATATAGTGAGAGTAAAGGGATAAAAAGTAGGCATAGTGTGAGGGAGAATAGAGTTAACCACAACAGTAATAGAGCTTTGGAAGATAGTAAAATGGGCTAAGACCAGGGATGGGTGCTGCATAATATTTACAGTTATATGGAACAACAATTATTTACCATAATACTGGAACAAAAATAATATGAAAAGAAATATATGATCTGAATAACAAAAATAGCTAGTACACAACCAAGAGTAGTGTGATATTGGAACATGAGTGAAGTGAGAAAAGAAAAATTAAAATACACTATGAAAGAGAGAACAAGGAAAACCAGTCAAACAATGCAATTAAACAAACAAATGAAATGAAAACTAAACAGGAAGAAGAGAAATGAAAAAATATTAATAAAATAAAAGAAGTAAAAATAATGAAAAATAATAACAATACAAATAAACAATAACATGTAAGTTCTCTAGAATAGAAAAATGAAATTTGTCTCAGTTTCTCAGTTGTTTGGGTTAGCCTTGTGTTCCCTCTTTGGATCTGTGTCTGGACCTTTCACGGCTCCAGGTCTTATTGTCTCACTTGGGGAAAAGAAAAAAAAGCCTCCTGCTAACTTTAAACTACCAAGTGAGTCTGCTGGTGTTCCTGGATGCTTCAAGCTAAGTGGGGCTGGTTTTCGCTTTTCTCCTTTCCCTATGGTTTTGCAAGGATGGGGCTATGTCTGGGCTGCAATATTCACAGTTGCCCAGCCTCCAGCCCAGGTCCTTTGTGCACTGCCTGGCCCCCACTGTCCATCTGTGCCAGGTCAGCACCTCTAATCCACCAGTTGTGCTGTCCATCAGGTGCACTAATTAGGGGCAACTCACATACCACCTTCTCCCTCTTGGCTGGCTTAGTTGCTGCACACTCTCAAAGTCTCTTCAGGATATTTCAGTTCCCCCACTGAATTAAGTTTTTCTGGGGATTGTTAACACCCTGAACCCCATTGCCCTCCTCTGAACCGTCCCTGTGGGGTGCCTCCTCCTTCCCCTTTGGGAGCCAGCCATAGTGCAAGCCAGCTGCAGTGGTGAGAGGCAGATGCTGCATGAGAGTTCTTTAAACAGCAACTGAGAGCTTTTTTTTTTTTTTTTCAGTAAAATCCTCTTATTTAAGCCTGCCATTCTTAACAAGCACCCAGCTTTACACACAGCCCAACTTTATAACCAGACTGGGAACTATCTAGGTCAGAGTCCATCATGACCCAACTCTTCTCCCTTCTCCAAGTGTCACCCAGCTCCTCACTTTCTCTGGTAATGATCTAGCTGGCGTCCACAGTCTCAGCAGGTGAACACCACGTCTGTGCATCTCCCACTTTGTTTTTATTCCCCCCAGTGATTTCAAGCATCCAGGTCTATCCTGGTGCTGCTCTGTCCTCACTGTTTAGTAGGGGAGGGAACTGTTGATTTGGCTCTCCTCCAAGGATCCTGCAGCAGGTGCCAGGCTCTGGGCCGTAGCAGCCTTGGTCCCTGTGCAGGTCCCAGGGACCTTACAATCCCAATGAAATCTCCTTACCGTCTGTTTTTCAATGTCTTCTACAATTTTGGTCTCCAAACTTCATATAAACTGGGATTCCATTGGCTGTTCACTCTGTTCATTAGAAGATCAGCTAGGTGTTCCACCTGTGTGCAGGGAGAAGTGGGCTCTGCTCCCACCTACCTTGTCACCATCTTTCTCCTAAAATAACATCCTGATATGCATTTTAAAAATAATAATAATTTTTCTCTCTTAATCATTACATGCAACATCAGAGGAAAAGGATGTTCTGAGAGGTTAACTGGCCCAAGATCTAGAGCCTATAAGCAGTAAGATAGGGACTTAAAGCTGACAAGCCTGACAATGCCCTTGGTCCTTTGCTGTGCCCTTGAGAGAGATAAACTAGGTATGGCCTTATGGCTTCTTGTAGAGACACGTACCCTTACAAGGGCTCATAGGTGAGATAGCTTCCTTAATTCAGTCATGCATTGATTGAGTGCTGATGACTAAGTGATTGGGATTTGATGGTGAACAATGATGAACTTGTATTTCAAGCTTTTAATGTGCCTAGCACTGCAATGAAAGCTGAGTTGGGCCACATAAATCTCTCCAGCAATTCCCCAAGCAGAAAGCAGAAGCATCATTATCTCCATTTCACAGGTAAGGGCGCCTAGAGGGGCTGTTGCTGGCTCAAGAAATCCCAGCCAAGACTAGCACATGGCAGAGCCCTCATTAGAATCTAGCCAGAGCCACTGGGCATGCCTACCATCTTGCTGCCTGCACACAGGTGAGTGCATCATACAGATCATCACTCTCTGTGGTTCCTGCATTAGGATTTCACTGAGACCTTGAAGTCAGACCTAAGTGGTAAGTTTGAGAATGTCACCATGGCCCTCATGTACCCACCACACAGATACAAGGCCAAAGAGTTGCATGATGCCACAAAGATAACTAAACAAGAAGGTGGGGCAAAAATGAGTACAAGGACTGGGGTGGGATAGTGATGCCTAGGACCCCTTACCAAACACAGCCTAGCACTGGGAACTCTGAGCTCCCCCTGAGCCATCATTCAGAATGGTCACCTGGACCTTGGCTGAGCCCAGCAAGCTTGCAACAGGTTGCTCAAACTGCCACCAAACATAGAACTGCTGCCACATGGCCATGATGAAGCCAGGACATCACAAAACCAAGCGTGCAAGAATTAGAAACCAGCCCCTGCCATTTCATGCCTGGTTCCTCAATTGCCTCTTATTTCCCACTCCATTTGAATTTTCTGTTATTTAAGAGGTATGAGGCATCTTGACCCAAGAGGGTATGGACAGAGCAGGAAGGCCCAAGCAGAGCTCTCCAGAATGCTGAGAATTTATCCACAGGGTTTAGGAACCAAAGAAGGTATCTTCATTGAAATCCTGGCTTCTCAGACCAAGAACCAGCTGCAGGAGATAATGAACGCATATGAGAAAGTTAAGTGACCAGCAAAGAAGAGTTCAGAGTCTGAGTTAAAGGCTCACTTGGGAATGGCCTCAATGTGCTGGGCCATGTTGTAAATGACCTTTCTGGGCCTTTCCACACATGAGTGCTAAACAGTTATTGTGTGCCAAGTCCTGTGCCTAATGACGAAATTAGACATGACTCAGGCTAGACTCTAGGCTCATGAGCTGCTGGAGATAAGGCACGGACCCACTAAATTCTCTGCCCCTTGAGGGCATAGCAGTGCTATACAGGGCCACGGGCTATGTCAGCTGGGTCTGGCTCCTCCTTGCCAGGCACAGGTTAACCCAGGGCTCCAATGCACTGGGGAGTGTGAACCACAAGCTAGCTATCACGGAGTCTACAGGAAGAAAGGCATGTTGAGGCCAGCCAGAGGTCTGCTCCATGAGGTCTGCCGGGTAGGCAGTCTGCCTAAAGGCTCTAGCTTTGCTAAACCACAAGATGAAACATAGCTTAGTCAGCAGCCCATAGCAGGGCTCCCTAGCATGGCCCATCTTTGTCCCTCAAGCTGGGTTGGCTGTCTAAGTCACTTTCTAGTTCTGAACAACTACCAGGTGATGGAGCCTCTACCACTTAGACACCTGGGCAGTGTCCACTTTTCATGTCAAGGACTCATCCTTCCTGGACAGCTTTAATCAGAGTAAGTGTGGGAGACAGGGCCAGGAGGAGAAAATCAGGTTATGGGGAGAGGAAAGTAGGTCCATACCCCATGATCCTGTTTCCCCTGCAGACTACGGATCCAGACTAGAGGAAGATATCCAAGCAGATACCATCTGCTACCTGGAGAGGATCCCAGTGTGCCTCCTTCAGGTACCACAGCCCAGTCTCCTGGGACCCTGGGGGATCTCAAGAGCCCCACCCCAGGGACAGCAGCTCTTGAACAGTAGCTACTGAGGAAGTGGGAAAGGGTCAGAGCAAGGGCAGGGTATAGCCCCAGTAGCTGGGGCTCACTGGGGATGTCTCAGTATGGCTCAAGGTTCCTCACTGCAGAGCCCCTGCACCTCTCCTAATGTAGTCACATGAGGGCATAAGGAAGTGGGAGCAGAGTGCCCTGTCATTGAGCACATCTTCACACCAAGCTCCATGGCAGCCACTTTGCTTCCATGAGCTCACTGCATCCCCCAGCTCTCTATGAGAGGGTCCTTACTACTCTTACTTTACACATGAGGAATCCAAGGCTTGAAGGTGATAACTGGCTTGAAGAAGGCCCCATGTCCAAAGAGCAGCAGGGCCCTGCCTGCCTTCCTGCCCAGCTCTCCCCTAAGCCTTACTTGCTCTGGTCAGTCAGCCAGCCTCACAGGTCTACCTCTTTTATTCCTAGGGCAGCAGAGATGATATGAGTAGCTTTGTAGACCTGGACTGGCCCTACAAGATGCACAGGTGAGGCTACACCCTAAGCAGTTTTTACCTTGCCCCTGGTCCAGGGGCCAATGCCTGGAAGCCTTACTCTACCCCTCTGCCCATGGAGGTCTTTTTTGTTGCTAGGCTGGGACGCAGCTCAACCCTCTGTAGGCTTTTATCCTCTAGTCTCTAAAGAAAAAAGTGAGGGTATTGGGGAAACTCAGGGACAGGAAGGAGAGTGACTTGGATGGAGGCTGCTAAAGCTCTGTTCTGATAAGAGCAGCCCACGGACCTGGGCCTCTGAGGACTGGATTTGTGTTTTTAGCTCTCCATAGGTCTGCCTGCCCATAGAGTGCTTGGATGTGCTCAGAGGCAGAGCAAAGCTACAGAGTGGAGAGACTTCTTAGGGCAGCTTCTGGCCTGATTATTGAGAGAATTCAACCACTTGGGGATAGTGAGCTCCCCATAAAAGAGAGGATCAACCAGAGAATGACCTGTTGGGTGGATGGGGGCTGCCCCTCAGCTCCTGCTTCTCCTTCACTGGATTCTTGTGGATGTCCCAATACCAGAATCTGTATGCAGTGGGCGAGAAGATCAACAGTACTGATGAGATGAAATTCATCACCATCTTGTGCATGTGCAGTGCCACACACTTGATGAGAGGTACTGGGCAGGAAGGGAGGAAGTGTTGGAGCCACAGTGGGGTGCCTTGGTCACAGACCCTCTCTCTTCATGTTGAATATCCACTAAGTTATGTCATTGAGTCCTGGAGTTGAGGAGAAAACCAAGAAGTCCTGGTATAAGTGGAGCTCAGGGGTAGCCCACTACATGTGCAATCTCTGATCTGAGAGCTAAGGAGCATCACTCTGAGACCCATGTGTTCCCTAAAAGAAGCCCTCTCTCCACCGTGTTTGAGGAATATGAGAAAATAACCAACAAAAGCATTGAGGACAGCATCAAGAGTGAGACCCACAGCTCACTGGAGGAGGCTATGCTCACAGTGAGTAAGTCATAGAGTTTGTACTCAGACTCACATGTGTCTGTGGGCCATAGGGCCCAGGGGCAGAGTAGTGCCCAGGGCATCCATGGCAAGTGACTGGGTCCCTACATGCTCCTTCAAGGGACTCCTGTTAAGGCCACACTCTCACCATGTATCTTTCGACCCAGGACACTGGCACTGTTGTACCTCCAGTGTCTTCAGTTTGCAGTGTCCTACCAGTGGTTGTTCTCTGTGCTCCCCAGGTAGCACCCCATGCTGTGTGAGTGAGTGTGTGACTATGTGTGCATGTGCACACATTTGCAGGATTATACCAGACCCAGTGTCCACACTCACTCTCAGCAGCTATAGAAACAATATTCTGGTTCTGATTGTGGAGCCCTGAAGAAAGTCACTTCTCTAGACCTCAGCAAGGATCTGGTATCTGCTTTAGTTTAAAGAAATTGTGATGAGTGATTGATGGTCTGAATCTGAAGAACACTGAGCAACTTCTAAAGACAAGGCCAGGCCAAGAGGATTTATTCCCAAAGCATATTTTGAGGTCCAAAGCTAAGATCACAGTAAGAAGAGTAATTGTAGAAGGAAAACCTGAGGCCTAGGGGCAGAGGGACTTCTCCTCTACTTCCTCCTGTGATAGATCCAAGGTCAAAGTCCCAGGGCTAAGGTACTCAGCTCTACACCAAGCTGTCCACATTCAGTGCCAAGCAGCCAATTGATATGTACAGGTCTTTAGGGGTGCACTGGGACATCTGACACTCCCCAGCAGGCATTGACTGCTGTGATAAAATCCAATCTATTGTAGAGCATCTAAGCGTGCCCCCTGCTCATATCTCAGCTTCCAAGTCAGCACCTGGATCCAGTTTAAACAACAACCTAAATAAACTTTCAGGCAGGGAAAAGCAAAGTTGTACAGTGCCCTACTGTGCTTGGACATGCCCTATTCATTTTTCCTTGAGACTCCCATCATTCACTTCACAGATTAAGATAGTGCCAGGCAGGGAGGTCAAATAATGAAGTCACACAGTGCTGTCAAGGTGGGATTTAAATATCTGCCTATTTCATGTACAGTCCATGCTCTTTCTGCTGCCCTGGGCTAAGATCACAGTAAGTGATCTTCCCAAACTTCCCCCATTCAGATGCAGAGTCTCTGAAGCATGTGCAAAAGTGAGTATGGGGCCCATTCTCTGGGCCAGATCCCCCAGGGTGCTTTGTGTTTCAGGGCTGGGCCTACTTATCATACGGAATTTCAAATGCAGGGACCTTGCTGATAACTCACATATAAAGTGGGCCTCTGAGTTTGGTGAGCCCTGTAACTGTGGCTTCTCTGTGCAGCTAGGTGGCTGGATTCTTGGCACAGCCATCTCTGGAGTGTGAGAGTCCAGGGACTGCACTGGGTAGAGCTGTGCTCTAATGGACCAGCCTTGCAGCCCCCAGTACATTTCATGCCTCAGCCTATAGACCTTTGCCCAGTGTCTCAGGCTTCCTTTCCTGTCCCATCCCACTTGACACAAAGCCCTTCATTTTGGAACTAAGCAAGGTACAAATAAATAGATCAAGGCTTCCACAATGTTAACCCTTCAGACCCAAGGCAAAACATAAATAAACATGAACATAATACTGCCTACCACCTAGAGCTGATAACAGAGCTTTCCTGTTTGCTACTTTGTGGAATGTCTTTACTACACCATGAAGGTAACTGCTTTGTCTTCCACCCACTTACACGCAGCCCTATGCAATAGCAAATGTAAAGCCAAGTTGCACAGAACCATCACCATCTTTTGAGAAAAGACATTTGGATCTTCTCTTATCCTCGCCTCTTGTGATCATACAGTCTTATATCTCAAAGGGGGAAGGGAAGCCAGTCTCTCAAAGGCTGCATTTGAGCAGGTGCTTTTGAAACTGAAAAAGATGCATTCATGCTGTCTGTCACATACTGAACCCAACAAGCAGAGACAGGAATTGAATCTTTATGGGCACTTTATTCAGGAGGCTGACAATCTGAGAAGACAGCAGGTTCAAACCCTAACAGACTGTCTTACATTTTCTTTCCAAGCCAGCCCTTTTATAACAGAGAACAAAATGTGGTGAGGGGTTTTGAAATTCAAAGAAAATTAAATTTAAAAAACTGCAGTATTCTTACCCTAGGCAGTTAGCTGTTCCCAGGGCTGGTGGTCATCTGTCTCTCCCTAAAATACAATGCCCTGGATGCCTCCACTTGTTCCCCAAGTGGTGATCTTTAGTGGTACCCCAGGAGATCGACTGTCTCTCCTGGGAGCTAGGATGGGCCTTATCTGTAGTTTCTGAAACAATAGCTTTAACATACACATTACTTACTAAGCTTACAACTATTTACCTTAAACCAAAATTTTCCAACTCTTGAGTCCCTTCTCATTCACCACCAGCATTGTTTCAGGCTTAAGGCATTGTTTCAGGCTTAAGTATGGCAGGGGAAGTAAGGCAGCCAAGAGATTAGGAGACTTCTTGCAGACAGCATGAGGACTCAGGCCATGTCAAAGCCGAGGGGCGAGGGTCCATCACCCCCTTTTCTGTAGCCCCCCAAGTCCTTCCCTGGGGCCTCCCCACGATAGTGCCTATCTTAGGTCGTTCCCCTCTTGGGGAATCTTACCCATCATTGGCTAACTGACCAAGCATTGGGGGCCAGGTAGGGTGAAGTAAAAGGAGCAGAAGTGGTGCTCCTGCCAAGTAGATAAGCTTTGTTTCCTTAGTGGCTTATGGTCTGAAGGTTGCTCACTCAGCCTTAGCCATGAGGGGTTACAGCTTCTGAAACCAGGCAGGGCAGTTCCCAACAATTTAGCAAAAATGTTCTGAATATTTCTGACTTTTGTCTTGCAGGAGGAACTTATGTTGAACAAACTTTCACTTCATGTCTTGTAGGTGTTTGTACTCCCTTGAAAGCCTTAGAAATTATACTGTGTTTGAGCATATCAAAAGAAAATGACCTACTCTGATATTTATAATTGGGACCAGTGATAAATATAAAGGACAGGAAAATGTTTTCCTTGAAGGTCGCTAATGTAGTCCCACCTAGAGAATGTACAGGTTTTGTCAACTATACTAAAAATTGTTTTGTGCTCTCAGCATGTGTGAAGATGAATTGCACCACCAACACTGATGTATCTCAAGCTTATGTTCATGTTAAATTGCCTACAGGATAGTTTCTAATATGTGGAAGGACTTGCTATTTCATATAGGATCCCCTGATCCTATAGAAATAAGAAATTTTATTTTTTAAAAATATATTTTATTGATTATGCTATTACAGTTGTCCCATTTTCCCCCTTTACTCCCCTCCACCCTGCACAACCCCTTCCACCCACATTCCCCCCTTTAGTTCATGTCCATGAGTCACACTTATAAGTCTTTTTGCTTCTACATTTCCCACAGTATTCTTACCCTCCTCCTGTCTATTTTCTACCTACCATCTATGATATTTTAGCCCTTGATAACCCTTTAGCTATGATAACCCTTGCCGCCCTGTGCTGGAAAGGGCAGGTTCCCTAGGGCAATCAGACCTAAAAAAGAATATGTAAAATACTGTGAAAACTGCTTTGTTTAGGATGCTCTCAATTAAATGATAAGGGTCCAAGTGAGAAGTGAGTTTGTTCCTCAAAGTTTTATGGCTCTTTAGCTATCTGACCCTGACTCAAAATAGGCCCTCAGAGTTCTTTGTATGTTTGATTCTTACTGCTTGATAATGATTAATGAGCTTTACCTGTATTCTTGTGCAGAACAAACCCAATAAAAGCCTGTCAAGGCAAGGGTTGGGGTGCTCTCTTCTTGCGAGAGTAGCCATGCTGTCCCTTTTCCTCCACAGGACTCGGCAGTCTGAGTGAACTTGTCTCATGTCTCACCCATAAGGGCACGGACATTGGGGGCCATTGTCTGCATCACTAAATATAGACCAAATATTTTAATCTTGTTTGAAAGGAATGAAAAGAATGTAAATATTGTTTTCGAAAGATAACTTTCAGGTCTTCTTGAGGTTCAGCAGTTCATTGTTCCTCCAGTGCTTTCTTTACACCGGTGTTATGAATCCAAAGTTTTATTCCTGCCAACTTCATCATGGTAGGGGTGGTGAAGAGTGCATCCCAAGGTCCAGTCCACTTTTCTTTTAGTTGGCCTTCTGGAGATGCTCTCATCCCAGTCTTGAGTAGCACCTTATCTTCAGGCTCAAAGGAATGCAGCAAACCTGTGGGGGAGAAGTCTTTAATACAGGCAAGGTCATTAATTACAGCAAAGGTCTGACTTAAATGTTGTACATATTTCTTTACCTTCAGTGTCATATATATGTATGTATGTGTGTGTATAAATAAATAAATAAATAAATAAATATATAATCACCCCAATCATAGCCTGAAATGGTCACCTGTACAAAATTTCACAGGAACTCATTTGAATCCCAGTCCAAGGAGCCATAAGGCAATAGGTGAAGCTTGATGCCAATGGAGATCAGTTTCTTGACACAGCTTGGCTATATTTTTCTTCAAGGTGTGATCCATCTTCTCTGCCTTCCAAGAAGCCTGAGGTCTCCATGCTATATGGAGTCTCTACTTGATTCCTAAAAGTGTACTAACCTTCTGTGTAATTTCTGAAATGAAAGCAGGTCCATTATCATTCTGCATGCTGCCAGGGAGGCAAAAGTAAGGGATTATTTCCTTTAGTAAGGCTTTCACTATCTCTAGGATTTCTCCATTCTAGTAATATAAACTTCTACCCATCCTGAAAAGGTGTCCAGAAAGACTAACAAATATTTCCATTCTCAGACCCTTGGCATCTGAGCAAAGTCAAGTGGACACTGTTCTTGGTATTGCTTTGCTTCTTTCCTTTGATGGGGATCTGTTTTAGAGGTGTTCTGACACACAGCACATCTAGCAATTACATTTTGTATGGCTTTAGAAATTCCAGAACCTGTGAGCCACAGTTTAACATAGGTGATTAATGAGTCTCTTCCATAGTGTGTGGCCTCATGCAAATGCTTCATGACTAGCCCCACTAAATATTCAGGAAAGTAGTATAACTCCTTTCTTATTCTTTTTTCCATCCACTATCAGGACCTTCTTCATCAAAACCCCAATCCTCAGCTTTCTCTAAGTCTGCAGTTAAATATTCAAGGTCCAATTTTGACAAGTCCAGAACAGGTACCAAAGATATTATAAACATTCCTTTAGCAGCCTCTTTTGCTGTCTGATCAGCCAGATTGTTTCCTCTAACCACTTCAGTGTCCTCTTTCTGATGCCCCAGGCAGTGCCTAACTGCCACCTGTAAAGGTACCTGAACAGCCTCTAATAATTTTAAATTTTCTGCTGCATGCTTATTCTCCTTTTTATTTGGAAGTTAACAGTTCTTTGTCTTCCCAGATGGAACCACGTGCATGCAAAATTAGGAAAGCTTACCTTAAGTCCATATACACATTCACTCTTTTTGCACAGCAATTCCAGTACCCTCATCAATGCAATCAGTTCAGCTTTCTGAACAGAGGTTCCTGGCAGCAAAGCCTTGGCCTCCACTACCCCTTCAAGAATCACAACTGCATACCCAGCCTTTCTGTTTCTTTTTTTCCATATAGCTGCTTCCATCTGCATAGACAATCCAGTCTGCTTCTTCTAAAGGATGGTCCTGTAAATCAATTCTGCTAGAATAAACTTCATCAGTTATTTCTGCACAGTCATGTATTAGTGCAGCCAAGTCAGACTCCAGGAGAAGAGAGGCAGGATTTTACTTACTTATATTTTTGAGGGAACCATTGGGATTGTCAAGAGGAATGGCTGCGTAGCTGCCCACTCTTTCATCAGTGAGCCACAAATTTTCCTTTTTCTCCAGCAGGCTCAACACTTGCTGGGGTGCATAACTGGTGATAGGTTGTCCCAAGGAAAGCTTTTCAGCTTTCTGTAAGAGCTCACAGGTGGCTGCCACAGCATTCAAGCAGGCTGGCCACCCCTGGACAGCATGATCTAGTTTCCTTGAGAAGTATACAATGGGCTGTAAAATGTCACTAAACATTTGGGTGAGGAATCCTAGGGCAATGCCCTGTCTCTCAAGCACATATAATTGAAAGGGCTTCAGTAGGTTTGGAAGCTCCAAAGTCAGTGCAAAAGCCAGGTGTACCTTCAGGGACTCAAAAGCCTGAGTGCATGCCTTTGCCCATAAAGGGCTATATTCTGGCCCTTTCAGTGCTTTATACAGTGGTTTAGCAATGAGGCCTAAGTTTAGAATCCAAATGTGGCAGCCACTTGCCATCCCCAGGAATCTCCTTAACTGTTTCCTGGTGTTGGGAGGGGTCCTCTGTGGACTTTTGTTGCACCGCCTGAATATGATTGCACCTTATTCAGACTCTTATGCTCAGGGATGCCTTTCCCCATTCCCTCAAGGGGGCATCTCTTATAATGCCCTAAGAGAGGAAGGCCATCCCCTTCAGGGTCTCAGTTGGGCTCAGTTACAGGTATTGCCCTGGGAAGGCCCAGAGCCCCATCTGGATTTTCTTGGCGTAACCTCTGAGCCTCTTCATTTGCCTTATCCAACACCAGCCTCTGCTCATCGCCCTTACTGAAGCAAAGAATTCAATAAGGCTCCTATGTCTGCCCAATTGAGATGATAAGTGGAAAAAACACTGATGCAATCAAACCAGTCATTTTAGCAGGGTTATGTCCATAAGAAGGGTTTGAGCTTTTCCAGTTTAACAGATCTAATGTAGAAAACAGAGTATGTGCCAGATAACATCTAGCAGACTGGCCTTCTGGCCTTACTCTCACTGAAAAGTCTCCAAAAACCATATTGCCCTACCCTGGTAGTGAAGCAGGAGACAGCATAGGAAGAACTCTGAGACTGCAATACTGTCACTGGCCAGCATTTATCACCCTGGTTTCCAAGAAACACCTTTTACCAATTAGGTAGAATTGGTAAAATTCTAGGGCACCTAGGGCACGTGGGAATGCCCTAAGGGAAGAGACTCACAGGGCTGGGAAAGGAAGGGGTGATCGACATCAACCCCTGCCCCCTCGGCTTTGTCAAAGCCTGAGTCCTTGTGAGAAATCCAAGTGTCCTGGCTGCCTTTGTCTTCTCTGTTAACTCAGGCCTGCAGGGGTGGCCCAGACCAGAAACGGCGGATCCCCGGGGTGATCAGGCCTGGGACATAGAATATGCAAGATCCTGTGAGATCTGTTTGCTGGAGGATATTATTAACTCAGAATTTAAAGGCACAGACAGGAAACCTTTGGAACCTATAGTCCTTTCATATGTTAAAATTCCAATCTCTGCCCAGAATCACAGCAGGAGTTCTGTCTGCACCTTTGTAAGTCACCTACATCTTTTGATCTTTGCTGCCAGACTGTGAATCCACAAACTAAGTCTGTATTCTCAATAAAAATCTGCTTGGGAATGGAGACCGGGTGCTCTCCCCACTAGACAGAGAGTGGCCATTCCTTTTTAACTTCCCCACAGAAACTGCTTGTCTCTGTGTATGTCTTTCTCATGTTTTGACGAGCCATCCACAGCATTCCACGCTCACTGCAGGCAGGTGAGCACGTGCCACTGGTCACTAGCTGTCTTACAAGGGAGTCCCTGATACTTACAGAAAGTGCCCATAAATAACTTTGGAAATTGCCCCCAAATTTAATTAACTGCCTCCTGTCAGGTATTTGTTTTACAACAGGATGACCAAATGGAGTCTGGAACAAGATAAGAATTCGGGCAGGCAGACCTTCATTCATCCCTAAATTTGGGTAGTCACATTCTCCCAGGAAAGCTGGCGCCACATTTACCCATTAATCGATATGTAACTTTTTTCCCTCCTATCCCACCAACTATATAAGTCCTGAGAACAAAGGACTCTCTCTCTCTCTCTCTCTCTCTCTCTCTCTCTCTCTCTCTCTCTCTCTCTCTCGGCTCAGGGAGCTCTTGGCTCTCGGGCCACAGGGCCTCTGGCCACCCAGCCTCAGGCTGCCCAAGGGCTTGCCACCCTGGTCTTCAGCCTCTCTTGCTTTTCTCACCCTGCTTTGCTCTGAAACTTTGCCTTTCCCCCTCTACTGTACCCAGTCCTGTTCTCTTCCATGGAAGTGAGCCACTAATAAACTAATTACATACTACTAGATTTGCTGATATATAATTCTTTGCATGCATCAGCAAGAAGAACCAGGTCTCTCCCATCAACAGTAGAGGCTTTTCCTCCACTGTCTTAAATCTGGTTCTTTGACCGATTTAAGACAGTGATACCAGTTCAGGCACACTTTTCCTATTTCACTCATAGAAGTGGATTCCCTGGGGCTGCAGGAACTCTGACCAACTTGCAGCAGTCATCATATCTAGATCTTCCTGGCTCCTCTCCTCTGACCTTCTATCTTTCACATGTAAATTTTCTTTTCTCTGAGCCATTAACTGATTTTCCTCCTTTTTTTTTTCACTTTTTAACTCTGCGTGCATCTTTATCATGTAAACCCAAAAACTTCTAGATAAGGCAGTTTGTTCCACTTCCCTGATTTTTGACAAAACAACTCTAGTTACAGTATAATACAGTAATTTAAAGACCCATTCAGTGACCAGCGCTCTCCTGAATCTAAGTTATACAGGACACAAACAGAACAGTACTACAACAAAACAACATACGCTTTCTATATATGCTCATAAGTCAACGAATCAGAACTGGCCCAAAGGGCCATTTCGTGGAATGGAGGCTTTCCCCCCATTCTACCAGACGGAACTCCATGGAGCTCCAAACAGACACGCTTTTGGGACCCGAACAGATGTCTATGCAGACCAGACAGAGCTCCAAACAGAAGGTACTCAAATAGAACAGATGACCTAAGTGTAAGGTTTCCTTAGACTCTCCTGGGGAATAAATGTCAATTAGACACAAAAATAGGCAGAAAAGCTTTATTTGGGGGGTTTGTGCTCCGGGGCAAAGTTTTCCCTGCCCACACAGCGGGAAGGCTGAGAAAAGACTGCACCGCAGAGAATATGGCGGGATTTTATTCTGGTTGGCCCTCTTCATGAGGGCTGGGGTTTGGATCCCTCCAAACAAAGTGGCAACCCCTCATTAGTGGCTCTTCTCATGCCCTGGCTTGATGTCAGCCATCTCTTCTGGGTCATAGTTCAGCTGCCATCTTGGCTGCTCCCAGTGTTCAGCCACAGGCGCCACCACCCTGGGTTCTCACCTGAAGACCGAAGACCGTGGCCCCGGAGGGCTGAGGCAGCCAGCGGCGGCAGCAGCGGGGGATGAGAGTGGCTCCGGGACCCAGCTTCATGAGGCCCAGCCTGGGAGACTAGAAATGTGCGGCAGCAGCAACTACAGAGGCGGCTCCCTTTTGTTTTGCCCCATCCATCCTGACACTAAGTTGCGATCCGGGATTTCAACCTGAATCAGAAAGTGCAACGATTCAATCCAGTGTGATGCACAACGAGAGGTGCTGGGAGCGAGGGGAGGAGAATCCCCAAGTGAAATCGCTTGGCAGCTGCTATGGATTCTCGGACTCAAACTCCCAGGGCCTCTCAGTCCAGGCAGCCAATGGGACTCCCCGCCAAATACCCAGACTTACCGGAGAGTCCCAAAGTGTGCGCCGGCACGGAGTCGCCAAAATATGTAACCGGAAAAGACACCAGCGTTCGGGCTGCCTGTCACTACCAAATCCAAAGAGCAATGACAGCAATTGAATATTTTATGGGCGCTTTATTCAGATGGCCGGCGATCTAAGAATAGGGTGGGTTCATACCCTAACAAACCATCTTGCCTTCTCTTTCTTGGCCAGATCTTTTATAAGGGGGTGGGGGAGGACAAGCAAGTACAGTGAGGGCTTTGAAATTAGGGAGGATTAGGTGAGCAAAGCTGTAGCCTTCCTGTTCTTGGCAGTTAGCTGTTCCCAAGGGGCAGGGGCGGGGGGGGAGGCGGGGGGCGGTGGTCAGACAAAAGGCCTGGATGCCTCCAACATGTTCCCAGGCAGTAATCTCTAGCCAGTGCCCCAGGAGGTTGGCTGGTTTTCCCAGGAGCCAGGATGGGCCTTATCTGTGGTTTCTGAAACAAAAGCTTAACATACGCATTACTTGCTAGACTTACAGCTTTTTACCTTAAGCTAAAATTTTCCAAGTCTTGAGTCCCCTATCACATTCAACCATCCCTCCTGAAGCCCAGGGTACAGCCACATTGTTACAGAACAGAACAAGGGGGGCCTGGAACGATATACTATTATTGAAAGAAGGCCCTGGGTCCGTTATGTCCGCCGCCAGAGGAAAGACGTCTCTCAATGCCAGAGATTCGTGAAAAGGAAAGGAAATGTTTAATGCTATACAAACTTAAAGTAGTGACCTAATGTCTTTCTCAAAAATCCCAAAGTCCCCCAAAACACCCACAAACAGACACAATCCTTCCTTCCTTCCCCCTTTGCCCAGTCCAGAGTACCGTATCTCAGGAAAGGAAAACGAAGTCCATGGCTCAGGCAGTCCTCTGGTTCTTCCCAGTTAATCCTCCATCCGACTGGGAGACCTCCCTGGGTTCCCAGCACTCTCCCCTGAGTAGCCAGGATCTCTGCTAAAACCAGGTGGTGGTTCCCCCTTCTAAAGCTGCGGGGGGTCCCCCACTCTGTCCAGGCCTTGTGGTTCTCTCTCTCAGGGCTGCGGGAAGGGGAGAGTCCCCACTCTGCCAAAGCCGCGTGGTTCTCTCTCCTAAAGCAGCGCGGTTCTCTCTGGGATGCAGGAGTCTCCACTCTGTCAAAGCCGTGTGGTTCTCTCTCCTATGGCTGCGGGAAGGGAGAGTCCTCACTCTGTCAAAGCCGCGTGGTTCTCTCTCCTATGGCTGCGGGAAGGGAGAGTCCTCACTCTGCCAAAGCCGCGTGGTTCTCCCAATGGCCGCCAAGTCTGGGTTTTAAATCCCCTGGCCAATCTTCCTCTGCAGCCTCATTTCCAACTCCTCCCACACTCAGCTTCACATGCCAGAACTCTTATCCTTCCAGCTTTACTGGGTTGCCATCTTGAGTCTGGGCAGGTGTGGCCCCATGTCCTGGAGCCAATCTTCTCCGAGCTCCCACGCAGGCGCTGTAGCTTGGGGGATCTGCCCCAGTCACGTGTTGGTGGGGAAGTTACTTCCATTCCCCTGGCTCAGAGATGATCACAGTTATTTAACATATCTAAGCGACCAGCCAAAGGCTATAGATATGTTAAATGATCATGCCAGAGGTTAGCTGCAAGGCTGTTGCTATGCAAAACAGATCTCAATGGCCTTGCTCCATTTGTCCCTTCCCCCAACCCACACCCTGGGTGGGGGGATGGAGACATCTTAAAATCTCCTGGACACCTTAAGTTCTGGACCCCATTTCAAATGCCCATTTGGGGTCCCCCCTCTTGGCTGCACCCTGTAACAATCCCTCCTTTCAGATATACACCCACTTTAAATTCTTTTAAAGGACAATGGACGAAGATCTCATCTTCTTGTAACTGCTTCCTGCTGGGAATGGACGTTGTTTTACCCACCCATGGGTCAGGGGTGCCCTGAAAGGGGGGGGTGCAGCACGGAGGGAGTCCTTCCTGTAAGGGGAAGGACCTTACAGAATCCTGGTCAGTTAGCTGTCACCAGGAAGTCGCAGGCTCGGTGTCCAAAGGCTGGCATTACTGGACCGTTGACATCCTCATCATCTTCTGGAGGTGACAGATTTGGAAAAAGTTGGAAGGCACAATTAAATCTTAACCACTAAATGACAAAGGCAGGGCTTAAGTAAGGAATGGCTTATCTGGAGGAAGGTGTACAAGGCATGCTACACCTATCCGAAACTCTTGTGGCCCACTATACTTCACTCAGGCTGAGGGGAATATGTTAGGATTTCCCTCCTTTCAGATACCTGGGCCCTTTCTGTCCAAGCCATCAAGACAGAAAAGGCAAAATTAGTTCTAAAGTGAAGCCCACAGACCCCCCAAACCATTTACCAACCCAACCACTCAGTTCAGCCAAACCGTTGAGTCTCGGGGGTGATGATGAAAATGGGCTCCTTAAGCGAGGTTTATATTCACTCACTCATTCAACCAATTACTCAGGTAATGAAGTCATAGGCATATGCCCTATGAAAACAGAAGAACACACAAGTTAAATTCACACAACAGTCCCCAAACCAGTCTCTGTGCCTGTGAGACTATCTTTTGGGAAGACATTCAATGGCAAGGTTTTTCCTGTAATAACATTTAGCAATGGCAACTTCAAAGGTCCTCCGTACCTGTAAATTGTACATCTTTGGTGATACTACAAACCAAGTTTCAACTTTCAAATGAAAACAAACTTTTAAGACAGTTAGCTGCACCATTCTGATGTCCAATACTAAGCATTGTGATTTTCCTTGAACCACAATTTTTCTCCTTAAGATCACCCTCACTGTTATTAAAGGACTACTTTGAGTCCCACTTTTAATTTTGACTGTTCGTTTGCATAAACACACCAAGAGCAGCCTGGATCACTTATGATCCTTGAGTCTACCTTGCTGGACCTCACACAGGGAGCCTTTAGATTGACTTCTCAGTCCACCCCTCTTGGGGCACAGAAGCAGAGCCACACATTCGCCATCTGGCTTCGCCTGTACCAGTTGTTTCACTCAAATCCTTGAGGCTTCCATTGTGCTTACAGGTTCCTTTTTGGCCATCTTGCAGAAAAGCAACCTTTGTTCCTTCCCTGGAAAGACTGCCATGAACCACACAACCAACCAAAGTACCAGGCTTTTTCGTGGGCTTACACTAGCTTCACAAGTCAATCCCAGTTCCTCAGGGCTTTCTGGTGATGACCAGAACCCATACATGCCTCCTTCAGGCGTGACATTCCAGTCAAAGTCTTGGTTAACAAAACCACTATTCACGACCGGTCTTATTGGTTTTATGCAAAGAAACCTTATATTATCACTCCCTCAGAATGCCAAATTCTGGAGGGATCAGGTAGGGAGAAAACTACAAAGTGTGAAGGAAAATCCTTTTCCTTCTGATATCCACCAGGCTTCTCAAAACTTTCCTACAGAGTGTGAAGTTTCAACCTTCCCTGGAATCCTCAATTTCCTTTTCAGAGCAGATACAGAGCAAAATCCAAAACATAGAGTTCCAGAACAATACACAGGTAGAAGCATTCTCTTGCACCAATGTGTCCATCGGTGCCTCGCAGAGACATGCTCCTTCAGGTCCGGTCTCTTGGTAGAGACATGCCCCCTTTGCCTCTGGCTGAAGCACTGGTCAGCCCCAAATGACCCTTCCTGGGTCCCGAGTGGCAAAAGCATGCTCCCCAACCGGTTACAGGCGACCTTTCCTAGGTCTCAGAGTACAGAAGGTTTCTGATCAGAAACAAAACCAATGTGAGAATTTTGCTCTTTTCTCATGAAACCATAAAACAAGTAGTTTAGGTTTCCCTTACTCCAGGTTTAAAACTTTCACATCTTTTACACATAATTTTCACATCCAGATTTAATCATCATTTTCTTTTAATCCTGGTTCCTTTCCCACACTGGGAAGGACTATACTTAAACTCAGTACTTAAACTCAGCATGTGGCAGCTAAAAGTCCCTAACACTACAGGTACCTTCCACTAAAAGTCCCTAGATTCGCAGGGACATCCTGCAGCTTTCTGAAGCTTAAACCTTGCAAACATCCTATAAATCAGATGGTCACCTTTGGACCTCAGTTCATGACCTTCAGAACCAGAGCCATTCCTATCAGAATCAGTTACACAGAGAACCTGACTGATGCAATGCCAACACAGTAGGAGCACACAGCCCATAATCTGAAGAGACCCCTTGGCCCACCACCTTGTCCAGTTCCAAGATGGTGGCGCCCATGCACGACCCACCCTCCATGGTGGGGCACTCACGTGGCTCATCCTCCATTTTACCCAAAATGGCAACACACCTACATGGTTTGCTGTCCGATCCCCACTATACATGCAGGCTCGGCCTACAGAGCCCAGGGGTTTGCTTCCTCCCCAAACCTGAGTACAGGTTCCCTTACTGCCACCTGGGCTCACCAAAACTGTAAATGAGCAGACAGGGGCCACCTGGGAGCAGTACACTAACCAAACTATTATCCACAGTTCCATTGTTCCAAAACGGTGTTCAGAAACCCGTTTTCAACCAAACCATTTTCATGTCTCTGCTCCCTCCCCGTTTCGTTTCCTTTTCACCTTTCCAGGCGTGATAGGCAGCCGATGCCCTCAGGAGGAGTGCAGAGGAATTCTCGAGACTGGGAAAACTCCAAAGTCTCACTCTCTCACACCTGAGAGGGTCGGTCTGCCACGGACAATTATCGTCCCTTCGTGGTCGCCAAAAACTGTTACAGAACAGAACAAGGGGGGCCTGGAACGATATACTATTATTGAAAGAAGGCCCCGGATCCGTTATGTCCGCCGCCAGAG